AAAAATAATGTTATACTTATACACCGTACAGTGCAGAAATACGTAATTTGAAATAATAGGTGCTATTTCAACGTCGACGTACAACATTTCTATTGGCTACTCATTCACGTAGCAAACCTACAATGGGAGGCAATAATCACATAGAACCTTTAACCCCGGGATTAATTCAGTTTGAATTGAGAGGCGTTTATCCTTAGGACAATTCAACGGTTACGCTATTTCGAATGTTCGGGTGAACGTAATCACGTGACCGACTGACAGGTGAACAAGTAGAATGTCATTCAGTCATATTATAAAAACAACATAGCTTGAGCTGAATTTGAACTCAACAAACGTCAGCTTGAAGACAAACATTTTCATTTTAAACTTTGGTTGGGTGTTATGTTTAATTCTACTTCCGAGAGCGAGCGATCTCCTCAAATAGCGTTGTATTAAACTAATGTAACCGTGGGTGTAGAACAGTAGACGCAAACACGGAGAAAATTAAACCTTATTTTAGTAGCATTAGCAAGTCTCGTCATTTTCTCGCTATCAGTGAGATCTCGACGGCCATTTGCGTGTACGATCTAATGTTTACTTTGTGCACAACATTATTAAATCAGCGGTGACACGGAACCATATACATTGTGAGATATGTGAAACTGGTAATTGCTCGCATGTCCAGGGGTTGGGCAGCTGAGAATGTGAATTACGATGATATATTTGGTATAATGACTATGAATAACCCGACTTATTGCACGCTTAATCTATGTATTGTAAATATGTATTTATTACTGTCATGAATGAATGAATGAATGAATTAATAATTATGTAACATTTATTACCTTATGAATACTATCTAGTTATATAAGTAAGAAATGCCATATGGTTTATCTAAATAACAGTCATATGTATTCTACATCGGTGTTAATTATGCTACGATTATATGCTGTCATCAGTTATACTGGTAGCTACCAGAGTTTACATCTAGAAATCTACGAATGACATCTAGGAATACACTGAATAATGTGTTGCCGGGGACATAAACGTCTGTTTATTCCTTCCTGTTTATTATACGATTATTTTCAAGATTTATAAGGATTCTCCCATATATTCTAAGTTAATAAGTTGTTTTTAATAAGTTACATTTTTGACGCTCATTTTATTTATTTCAAAGCCCTCTTGTTATATAAGATCCAATCTCCCAGACAATTTAAATTTCCACTAATATATCTCTGGTTCCATGCGATCTTATGCTCGTCGTTGATTGGTCGATGCGTCAAAGTGGTACTACTTTCAATGACACCGACCAAACCATTGCCATACAGGTGCTCGATTTTCTTGTGGATTTTCACCACAATATGGCGGTGTGTGGTGGCAGAGATACTTTCGGTGTTCCGGTCGCAAGGACATCTGGGAAGGAGAATGTACAACGCCGTAACTTTAGCATTAGCGTAGCACGTGGGAAACATACAGCTTGCATTTGAGTACATCCTGGATAATTATCCCAAAGGTCATTGATGTCAGTGTAACATGAAATTAACTTACAAAATATAACACAGACTTTGACAAATAAGTATAGTACTTGACTACGTGTTTTATAGCTGCTTGTGACACATCATATTCTGACTCTGTGTCTTGATTGGACAATATGTGGTCACAGAAATCATAGACAAAAAGGCATAACATTGCCACATATCACACAGTACATGTATTACTAGTATTTACACATGGCCCTGATTCCCGAAACTTTCAAA